GTGTGTGTGTGTGTGTGTGTGTGTGTGTGTGTGTGTGTGTGTGTGTGTCAGTTGGCAAAAGATCTCATAAATGAGAGGACAGATTTTAATGAAACTCTGGATGTTCATCTAGCACTGATTCATTGTTGGGTTCAGGATGGCCACAACAACTAATGAACCCCTAAATGGCTGTAACTTAGCTACTGGACTACGTTTTGGTGTGGAAAGCTGAGAATCATCTCCCATCTCATAGTTTAAGCTCTGATCACACATTATCTTTGTTCAAATCTTTGGCACGCTAACACTAATACCAATCTAAACATAAGGCATATATTATACATATATTAGTCATTTTTCGTCTTTATTTTAAAAGCTTCCACTTTGTTTCAACAAAAGAATCTTCACTGTTTGCATCTTATCTCTCCTGCTGTTCTTGGGTCGAAAAGACTCACGAGGCCTCGGTTTTAAAATTGAGGCCATGTGGGTCATTTCGATCCAAGGGCAAACATGTTTCTTTCTTTAAACAAAAACACCAAATATGGATGTCTATAATGTGTTTCATGTCATTAGAAAAAAGAATACATTCTTGCCATTTCCTGTTAACACTGAGGTCAGACCACTTTTGTTCTCTCAGGTCTTAAGATCTGCTGCTCCAAGGAAAGTCCTGACAGGCGTATCGATCTCTGGGTTTCCACCAGTTTGGCACCATGGGATCCTCCACATTAGGAAAGGCAGCRTCTCTTGATGCTCTTCTTAATGAATGCATTTATGCATTTGGTGAGTGACAGACAACATCTTAAGCTCTATCCTGCAGAGAAGATAATCGTACATAATTGATATCAGGTTTTTTTATTTATTTTAGATATAGACTACAGATGGGATGTTTGAAATAAAACCTTACAGGACATGGACATAGAGGAAAAACCACAGTTTGCAGTCTTGACATGAAAAAAACACAAACATCAATTATTAATAAGGATATTCTTGGTGATGCTTTATGATTACTAAATAAAAAACACAATTTTACCCAATGAAAAATTTGAAGGCAAACAAATTCATCAATGCGTATGTTTTTAGTGGTAAGTTATTTGACAAAATACAGTGTTGTGTTTTCAAGATCCAAGACCTGCTTGGCCATGGGTTGTAATCCMGTACTGAGCAACCAAACCATATTTCTTATATTTGGTACATTTCGACACTGGCAGCTCTGTAATAAGGCTGCACAGAGACCCATCTAAAAGCATCATTTTGAGAGATAAGTCCCGCTTTCYGTTTGTTCAGATCTTGATTCTCACTTCCTCTCACAGATGACAGCGGGGAGCTACATGGTAACCTACTTCCTCGAACCCTCCTGCTGATGCATCGCTGGTACGTTACATCCTCTGAGCTGGCTGGAAAACTACTGATGATATATCCCATCTGACAGGAGGACTAAACTGCTGTCGTACTTTCAACCGTTACTCTCCTAAAAGGAGATCCAATCCAAATCTTCACTTCTCTCCAAAGCTTTGCTCCTGCCGGTTTGCTTCCTGTTATTATCAGATGAGAGGAATTGATCCTGTCATGGATCAATGATCTTAAAGCTGTTTTGTCTGTGGCCTGTTGAAATCAGACTCTTTTTAACTGGTAACCCAACCCAACTACATTACACATAATTACACTGTATTTTGTACAGTAATGTTTGTAGTTGTAACTTTTGAAAATTGCCAGTTTATCTAGGCTTACCTATTTCCTTTATGTTATGAGTTGTTACATATAGCAAATATCAGCTTGTTGATTTTTTTGCAAAAAGTCYTTAACTTAACACCACGTACCGTGACTGCAGAGGCACCGACTGTCAGAAGACCAGGCTAAAGATTTGCTTGTTAATGAGGTAAGTTGGTGTTCACATATTTCTCTTTTCCAGCACATTAATTATTCAGGTCTTGTTTTATAGAAATACTTACAGAAAGTTTATAGTATTATGAGCCAAGTTTACCTTTGGTCGTCTTTACACTTTCAGATGCAAAATTTTAAATGTCGGCTAAATTTTACGATGTGTGTACATTTAGCTAGCCTGGCCCTTGCCTTCCTACACAGTTCTCCGCTCAATTCTAGTTTCCCTTCACTGCTC